TTAACTTGGACATCAGTATATCAAAGAAGACATTGCTGTGTTAATTGTGTTTCCTGTTTGGCAATGGTGAATCCATCAATGTGACCAAGTATTGAACTAGAATTGTTTTAAATCAAGAGCACACACAATGAAATGGCTTGCCTGCATATCAGATCATGATTGAATAGAAAGTCTTTAAGATAAAGGTTTAACTACAAGTATCACATAAACATGACATTATCAATGACCAATGAAAATGAGGTGAAAGTCATATGATATCTGACAGACAGACAGTTATACCTTACAATTCTTCCATACACCAAATATGGTCAACCAATTGCTTCTAGTATCTGAGAAACAGATATAATCACAAAAACTTAACATTGACCAATGAACTATGTAAATGAGGTCAAGGTCAGATAGAACCTGCCAGACAGACATGTACACCTTACAATTATTCCACACACCAAATATAGTTGACATTTTGCTTATAGCATCTGAGAAATGAACCAGACCACAAAATCTTAACATTGACCAATGAACCATGAAAATGAAGACACTTTAGATGAAACTGCCAGATGGACATGTACACCTTACAATCGTTCCATACACCAAATATAGTTGACCTATGCTTCTATTATCTGAGACAGAGATGACCACAAACAACTGACCCTCAATCACTGATCCATGAAATGAGGTCAAGGTCGGGAGAACCAGGTCTGACAGACAAGCATACTTTGCAAGGATCCTAGATACCAATTATACAGGGGTGTGGAAATGCTATGCCCGACTCGTACATTTGAACAACCGGACAAGTAAATCTTTTGTTCTGGGTTGCCAGTGGACAAGTAAAAAATTACACTGGGCAAAATTCAATTTAATCAAAAATATAAAATTATTTTCACAACTTATTAAGATGTATTACTTTATGTAAAAGAAACCAATGATCAAAACGTTAAAAACATATATTTAAGTCAAAACATCAATGTTCGTGACGATAAGTATTAAAAAAAAATCGTAAGGGTTCCACGGAACCCAGTGTCTCGCCTGCTTTTTCTGTTAATCGCAGGCTCAACAAAAATGAGGAAGTAAATCAATAAAAATATTCCACTTGATACTATCTTTTGATTGTAAGAAGCTTCTGTCCAAGTTTGGTAAAAATCCAGGATAGTTTATGAATCTAATAAATGTTTAAAAACTTTAACTGCAGACTGAATGTAATGTTAACTGGAAGAAAACAAATTTTCCTTCTAGATACTAGCATTTGATCATAAACAAGCTTCTGTCCAAGTTTGGTAAAATCCAAAATAGTATAAGAAAGTTATTAAAATTTTAAAAACTTTAACCGTTGTTTCCTGGCAGAAAATCCAAGTCCATTTAAAAGTAAAATACAGAAAAAATGGATTTTTTTTTTTTACAAAATTTCCTTCTAGATACTAGCTTTTGATCATATACAAGCTTCTGTCCAAGTTTGGTACAAATCCAAAATAGTATAAGAAAGTTATTAAAATTTTAAAAACTTTAACCACAGAGTGAATGTGTTGTTTCCTGGCAGAAAATCTAAGTCCATTTATAAGTAAAATACGGAAAAAATGGAATTTTATTTTCAAAAAATTTACTTCTGGATACTATCTTATGATCATAAACAAGCCTCGTCCAAGTTTGGTAGAAATCCAGGATAGTTTAAGAAAGTTATTAAAATTTCAAAAACTTTAACCACAGAGTGAATATTTGTGGACGCCGCCGCCGACGGAATGTAGGATCACTATGTCTCGCTTTTTCGACTAAAGTCGAAGGCTCGACAAAAACAGAAATAGATCGATAACCCCCCAAAAAAATAGGTATGCGAATCCGGGTCTCATAAATAGTGCATTATTTTTCTCCATTGACCCGGGATCGACGATTAGGTTTTATATGCCATCTAACCGAAGTGTTATTTTAATTTTTCATGATTGAGTTTTATCGAGATGGATTAATACCTGATAAAAACACCTTGTCCGGGTAAACAAGACAAAAGAATGAAAATAACAATGACGAGTCGAAGAAAAAAAAAACAGAAAACACAGGCTGAGAAAGATAGGGAATGTGGAAAAAACACGGCAACAAGAATTCCAGACGTGGTGGTTTACAAATTTCACTTGGCTCACCAGTGACGAAATCTTTGAAAATATATTAAATTGCTGCACAAATTGAAGGAAACACCCACAACTTGCTGATCAAAGTCTTACTCATATGTTGGCAAATTAATAGATAGAAGGGACACTTTGGTGGCCTATCAATGCTCTGCAAAACACCAAGCTTGTCAGATGAAAGAAACGGTAAATTTAACAGGTGTCTGGGGAAATGGACAAAACATTAGTTGCCTTCTAGATGTTTTTTGGTTGTTTTGCATTTGGATTTATTTATTCAATGATGTAAACCCCATACCCCCTTTTATTTTATACTTATAAACAAACATCACAAACATCATTTATATTATGATACAAAACAGTTTTAAGAATCATACAAGCTTACAGTAAAACACTTTAAAATTTATTGGGAAATTCAGGGCAAGTTACTTTTTTCAGACAAGTAAAATTTACAGTTTAACTAGACCAGGGACAAGTGCTCACAACAAATATTTCCACACCCCTGATTATAGTTTTCGCCCAATATCAAATAAAATTCAAGGCACCTATGTCATGACAGTACAACCCAGATCCCCTTAAAGTGATACACCTTATGGTTATACACTCACGTTTATGTCCAAACACACAAATTATCTGGTCTTGATAAGTTTAGTTGTCAAAACTTTGAAGTGAGAGGTCAATACCAAATACCCATTGTCTAATGATTATGTACCAATAATCCTTCATTGATAGAAAGACATAAATAGGTGTATAATTTCTCTTCCTGCATTAGATTATGTGCATTTGGATGGTTTCTATCCAATTAAATTGCAGGAGTAGATTAGAAATGGGTGCCCCCTGTGAACTAAAGGTATACATGTATATACAATTCTGCTTGGTATAAAGTCAAAACTTTAACTATCAATCCTATATTCAGGCAGATTTGAGATTGGGTCATGACGGACCCATTTTGGCAGGTTTTTTACAATGTGAATGTTGTGGGTTTTTTAAGACATCTTTTTGTCACATTGGCTCAAAAGAAATGTACCAATCAAGAATATTCAATTTCATTTCCCCCCCAATAATATCTGAAATGACCACTATATTTTAACATGAACTGAGGGTCTACAACATAAAACCAAAGTTAACCATGCCTGTCAAGCCTGATTCCAACCACAACCAACCTTACAAATTATGGTATGTAATTCCAAGCAGTTATAAGATATGGATCAGTTATGAGTAATAAAACATGATCCTAAAGACTCTACTTAAAACAACCATAAACTTGTTACCTTGTCCTTCAAAAAATATCTATTACTTTCCTCTCAATTTTTTTCAAGTGATATAACAGTCAAAGAGAGTATGCTTATTCAACTAAAATAGAATATAATGGTGTACACAATGTGTAGCCTTATACTTAAAATTGACTCAAACCCTGTTCACCTTCTTGCAACTGTGTAAAGAATTCCAAGCAGTTCTCAAAATATATCACAGAGCAAATTGCAAACATGGACCTAGGATCTGCTATATTACCAGAAATTTGTGATCTTGACCTTTAAAATGTAGATTCAACCTTATTAACAACAAACTTTCTATTGATGGTGAATTATTATACAAAGTATCATCATTGAATATCATGTATTTCGAGGAACCTTGCTGACAAAAATGAGTAAACATTAAACAATTCTTGTGACCTTAATCTTTATGTTATAGCTTCAATCTTATTCACAACACATCTTCTAGTGGTGGTAAACAATCTCACAAAGTCTCATTGATGAACTACATTCTGTACATGTGGTATTCAAAATATAAAATGGAAACTATTTTTTTAGTGAACTTTAACATGAACCTATATTATATAGAATTAAGCTTGTGATCTTCACCTATAAGCTACAGATTCGAACTTTTATTTGACTATTTTCAAACCAGATCTTCAATTGCTCTTGTTTAACTTTTGTTACATATCTGTAAACAGGATCAAACTAACATTTATAAGTTTTTCTGAATGCACTAGTTTTTGCATAAACAAATTCAGCATGTTTAACCTTAACCGAAAATCAAAACAATGCACGCATTTATTGCTTATATATTTGGATATGTTTTTGAATGAATATTTCAAAATAATTCTGAAAACAGATGCATATTTGTATAGAATGCACAAAAAAATCCAGTCTGCACCAAACCTTTTCCAACTACTAGTCTGAAGACCAATATCATAATATTTTCCTTATGTGTCTAAACAAAGTTTTGCAAATACTTACTGGTCCGAATAAAATTTTACAAGTTTGGGGCATCGGACTCACGGTGCAGACTGAAAATCTTAAACAAAAATGTTTAAAATCATAATTTCTCAATAACATATCACTAGATTTTTAAAATGGATAATAATTTGATAATCAACTTTGTTTAAGATGTAAAAACAATTTGTTACTGTGTTGGTGGCGAAAAAAGTTCAAAATACTATTCCTTTTGACTTGACAGCATTTAGTTATGCTATTTTCAATGTTGTGGGGTGTTTTTACAGCCATAAATCCATTTTTGATGATTAATACACCCAAAACAAATTCAATACTCTTATGATTATTTTACTTTATCTAAACTGAAATTTATCTTGCAAAAACAAATCTATTTTCAAGAAAACTTTATGGACGTGTTTAGAAGGAGTTTGGATTTTAAAATACTTTGCAAATTTTGGAAATATTGTTTACTGATTTTACATGCTTTCTATACAAATATGTTACAATTTCAGGTTTTACTCAAACATATTTGAGCAAATAAAACAAGTAAATAAATTTTTTTTTTCAATTTTCAATTAAATTTCAACATGTTTAAGTTGTATGCAAAATCTTACAAAGTTCTGTGACATCCCATTAACCATTCCTAGTATGTACTAAACCTAAACTGTTAAATTACCTCTGCAAGCCTCAACAAAAATTTCTTCAATACATCAATATAGTTATCATGGTTATACAAAGAAAAGATCAATCATTTTTCTTCCAATACCATCAATATTTGTTCCAGCATCAATGTAGTTGGTGCTTAAGTAACTTTAACATGATCATGTCCCATCAAAGAATCGGTACCATAATATTAGCAATTGAAAACCAGGAAGTGACATCTCAAATAAATTTATTTACCTGTCCTCTTTAATTGGTATGGTATCCAGGTGAGGCCACGATTTTCTTCAATGAGTAAAAAACAGGTGCTTGTAGTCTTCCAAAGTAAATCCTAGAGTTGTCAAACACTTTCTACATTATTTTAAATCAATAACCCAGTCCACCTATAATATAAAGGAGTGAGAGCTTAGGATAAATTCTCTCAAAGGCCAATCAAAGGGAATTTAATAGAAAGGCATCTTGAAAACTTTCCAATGTTTTTTAAGATATAAATATTTTATTGTTAATTTCAATATCTTTATTCCATAAACAAGTCTACAACTTTCAAATGGCAAGTTAAAATTTTAAAGACATGGTATTTTCAAAAACAATTTCCAAATAAAGTGACTGTCAAACAGATATTATTTTTAAATTGACAGCATGAAACGATTACAATGACTTTATCCCTAATCCTCTCAATGTAATCCACTCTTTACCTGACAGTTATAAATCTCCATTGTGTTACTATCTTTATATAAAGTATATTTAATAAATAGTGCAAGTCTATTTAAAAATAGACAATTAAATATTTTCTGAAAATTTCTTTGAAGTTTTAAGAATATTAAAGTTTTATATGGATATAATCAAGTGAATTTCATGTTCACAGTGAATCGATAGGTCTTCAATGAAATCATGTCTTTTTAAAATGATTTTTTACAGTGTTTATCAAAGCATTTGTAAACCATCTAAAAAATTGGCAAATAAATTTGGTAACTATCGAGCTATTAGCAATAGCCGAGAGTATTGTATACCATCTTTTGTTCCTTTGTGCAGTAAATATTACATCATTCCACAATATAAAATCTTACTTTAAACTTGCTTTATAATGTTTTACACATTGAATCTGTATATTCGATCAGTCTTACCACATGACATGGAATTTTAATCCAAAATTATATTGACAGCAATTAAAAACGTATCCTGTATAGGGAAAGGAAAAATACACTCTTTTTTTTTCTCGTGACATGAAACTTTTATCTCTATCTGGGACTGTAATTTTTCATACCCAACACCAGCCCATTAGAGAAAAGTATTTTCTTCTTTTATCATTTTCATGTATTAGATGTGTAAGTAATCTATTAGTCATTCTAGACATGACTATTGTAGATATGATCTAAATCAATTTGATTAAAAAATATTTTGAAATTTAAATATATGGTCTGACATTCTAACAACTTTCATTTTTGTTCCAGACATCTAATTCAGGAAGTACTTTCACTATCTTTATTTGAACTTATTCTTTTCAAGAGAGTAACCAAGAACATGTACTAATATTAATCATTTAAAACAGTTCAATACAAATATATATATAAGAGTCTATTTAAAACAACCAACCAGAAAATCTTTAGACTCTTACATATATATACAGTCATGGGTAATGGTATAATATACTCAATACCTAATAAGTTTTTTCATTATAGATAATACAAACAGTTCATATCTATGTTTTAAAATATTTACTTTAAGTGTCTGTATATTTTAAGTTGAGAAACTAGACAGTACACATGAGTATTGGTTAAAACACAGAACAAGTACATTTACCTAATATAATTACCAGTATTCAATAGTTATTATTCTTTTATCTGTCAAGTCCAAAAATACAAACTAGAGGCTGTAAAGCACCTGTGTCGCTCACTTAGGTCTATGTCCATCTTCAACAACGGACACTCTCTGACAAAAATCTCTTTGAATTGTTGATCATTTTTTTCTGTTTCTTTTATGTTTGGGAAATGATAACATTCTTAGTTTTTACCAAAAACACAAAAAAAGGTAAAAAAATTGTCATATAAGGGCAGTCACTCCTTTAAAAAGTCTACTAAGGATTTCAGCCAAATTTGACTCTATTTTAGATCTTGTCTTGCTGATCATGTGTGCTATTTAAAGTTTCTATTTATCTTTTATAGTTTTCATGACAATAGGCAAAAATGCAAAAAATTGGCTATACGATTTCATGTAAATTTGTCAATTTTTTGCATTTTTGCTTATTCTCTTGAAAACTATAAAAGAAAGATAAATTGATTTGACGTGTTGAATTTTCTGGAGGTAAGTAACAAATGCAAACTTTAAATTCAAAATCACAATTTTTCAACACAGTTTACCCACAAAATACCTTCAAATGATTCCTCTAATAAATTGATTTGAAATGATTTTTTATAAAAATACCTACACCAGCAGAACCATTTTTTGCATTTCTATGTCATGCTTTTCTATTTTGACCTATCCATTTATAACCTTTAATAAATAATACATCATCCCCTTTCAAATAAATCCTAACAAAGATAAAAAAAAAAACAAAAAAAAACCTAAAACAAACAGTATAGACAGCGTTTCTTTGTTTACATTGATGATGTCATAAATAAAATGCATGATAGCCATGACCAACATAGGGACAATTCCGTATTTCAGTCTACTTTACCAACATAGGGACAATTGCGTATTTCAGTCTACTTTCCATGAGAAATTATGCAAGAAATTCAGTAAACTTATTGTAGGTGGGGCATTAAAATATTATTTTCAATTAAAGATACTAGTATAAAATTGAAATTCATCTGAAAGCATATTTATAAAGTTAAGTACGTATCTGCTCCTACAGTTTTTATGGAGATTATAAAAGTAATATTTACAAAACTGTTAACATGACAGGTGATGATGATAACTCGAATGATTGCAATGACTTTTGTATCCTTTGGGTCAAAGCGGAAGACAACACAGTTTTTCTTATCAGAAAGAAGATTGTTAAGCTTTTTATAATCTATGTCATACTGTGTTGACAATGCATTCCAACATGTATGCTTAATATGGATCTTTTCTTGATGTTACCTCAACATGTCCTTAAAACTGTAACTGCCAAATCTATCATATTATATCATGTATCCTTGAGACTAACAACCTACAATAAATAATTGACAAACTAAAAGGTGGTTTAACAATCGACATAAATGACCATTTTATTAGTCTGTAAGTGTTACCAAATTCATATATTACTAAAACAGGAGAAGAAACTAAGACAACTAAACACTGAAGTAGTACTGTGGTAATGGTTGTCTTCTTCTTTAAAATGTTTGTTTTTGTAAATCAAATTTGTCAATGTCTACTTAGAAAGTGTTAAATCATTTAATAGAATACATAAATGTCAACTATGTTAATTTATATGTATCCTACAATTTTCTAGAAAATGGGCTATCATGGTTGAATTTATAATCTATCAAAAATTATGAAAATATTCACCTTATATTTCAATGGTGTCTAAATTAACTAGTGAGGTGATCTAACGATTACAGATACCCCCAACAACAGCAACTGAGAGGTTTTGATTTTGTTTTTACAGCATCATACTACATAATTTTATAACATGTAATAATTTTGCAATAGATCCAAGGCAGTGTATATGTATGTGTAAATTTTTTTTGTATACCCTCAAATATTTTTTGGGAACTAATTTGGTGAAACTCTATTTAAATATTATCAACATGGTTGAGTGCAATGATGACCATATAAACAGATGACCTGAATGTTGTCTATTCTATATTTCAACTGGAGTCAGGTGTTCACCTGAATACGATGTTTAGACAACAAACTGCAAGTATTTATTTCAAATTTGAAAGGAATGAAAAAGTAAATTAATTCATATAATAAAGATGTATAACTGACATTAAATTCTGTTTAGTGGTCCAAAACATTCCATTAAAATTTAAATTGTCCAGTAACCAATTTTTTTTCAATTTTTCCAACAATTAAGAACTTTAAATAGGGATTTGAAGAAGTGAAAATGACCACAATTAAATGAAATCTTTGTTTAGTGGTCCAAAACATTCCATTAAAATTTCAATCAATTTCATACAGAGGTTATTCATATATTACCTGGAAACAAAAAAATTTGAATTCTTCCAACAATCAAGTACCAAAACTGTGGAGTGGTATAAGTGAAAACATTGAAAATCAAATTTAACCTGTCTTTAGTGGTCCAACACATTCCATTAAATTTCAAAAAGGGGTTCTTTATTAATTAATTGGAAACCAAAATGTTTTAATCTTTTTAACAATCAAGTACCATAACTCTTGACAAGTAAATGTGAAAATCATACTTTACCTGTCTTATGTGGTCCAAAACATTCCATTAGAATTTAAATTAATTTTTAAAAGCACTTCTCTATTTATCATCTGGAAACCAAAAGTGTGACAGACAGACGGATGGACATGAGGATCCATATATACCCCTGACTCTGTCCTGTAGGGTGGGATATAAAAATGGAACTAAATATCTCAATAATCCCCTTATATGATGTTTAATTTCAAAAAATGACAGGTTTAAATTAGTTCTAAGCTTTAGTTTTTATAATCATAATGTCATATATGTTTTAGAATCCTACATTGAAACCAAGTTTACACTTCAAATAACTAGCTGATCCCTAGATGTCACTGTAAATCACTAGATTTGTGTGGAATTTCTAAGAATTGACATTAAAATAAACAGATGCATTGCAAGAAGCATGACACCATACATTGTGTATTTGAAAATGTGTAGAGGAAACTTCAACCAATATCTTAAATCATAATTTATATCAAAACGATTAGGGTAACATTAGTTGTTATATTGGATGGAATTAGGTGATTTATTTATAGATGACAATGATAAAGCATGGAACATATATTTCAGAATATCAATATGATAGAAAAATCAACAGAAACTTAATAAAGTGTAATTTCTCCCCTGAACAATAAAAGATTCCAATCTTGTTTTAGTCCATTACATTACAAAGTCTTTTTTCATCCACGTCAAACATCGATATACTCAACTGTCATTTTATCTGACCTATGGCAGCTTTTAAAACTTTATCTTTGTTTAAAAAATGTTATCATTTACCAAACAGAAAAGAAGCAAACTATCAAGAATGTAAAAACAAATGTAGACTAAAAATTATAATGAT